AGGTCAATGAAATTTGGTTTCCCTCGACAAATTTGACAGGGCTATCGAACGCCGTTTGAATTTTCCGGATCCGTCCAGTAGTTTTGGAGATACGGGGGGGGGGGCAAAAAAGTGCCCCCCCCCCCCACCGCGCGGAAGGTGGCTGGTAGGCCCACCGCCTGCCGGGTTAAAGGAAATAGTTCACTTTTAACATGGGGTTTTGAGCTGGAATAGCAGTTTCGTAGCTTGAGCTGAGACTAGCACAAATCAGGAGCTTTTACGGCTCAACGATCACCCTAGACGAAGATATTCCATTTCTCGTTCCGAAAAGAGTGCCTTGTAGAGGAATGCGTGCCTTGCACAGGAATGCAGCCACGTCATCGTCAGCCAATCAGCGTGCTGCTTACAGCCAATGCAGTATGCGTAGGTTTGAGCTACGCAATATGATTGGTCAATGCGTAATAAGCTTCCGCGTCAAACATTATTTTACATATAATATAGTTCGTCCTATATTAAAATATAGAAAATAATTGTTTTTACAAAAAGGTTTTATTTTATTTCATGATTATTTTGAGCATAAAAAATCATAAATCAATAGCAAAATACTGATTTCAGGAAAGTGGACTGTTTCCTTTAAGCTTTCTATTTATCTTATCAAGTAAATAAACCTCACTAAATTGTAAGACAATGTTATGTATCTTACTTGATTATATATTTAAGCATATATGCATTATATATCTCTCAGTATCAAAACAGTGCCAACAACAATTTTCCATTCATCATAAAATTACAAAGTTTTTGGTTTGGAATCAGGTGCATACTTACATTTCCATTTTGTCCACTTGTCAAGAAATTCTGCAAAAACTTCTCTAGTAGAAATACCATGAGACCTTTTTACCTGAAATAGTTAGAGTGAGGCTCAAGTTCTAACACTGCCTCCTACAAGAGCAGCTGTATAAAGTGGATGCTACACTCTCAGCTTGAACCTAGCTGCAGTGCCTACAAATGAAAATCAGCCTGCACTCTGCAGCCATCCTGCAAATGACCTCACTCCTGAACAAAAACATGTGCATGGAATTATATTACTGGTCTGCATGGGAACATGTGCTTCGTGAGGGAAGCCTCAAAGCCATGTAATGAAAATGGAAAACTAGGTATACTGTATCGTCTGTATTATACATTTGCAGTCATCAGTGGGAACAGCATGAGCGGACTGCAATAGATCTTTTGCAAGACATACCCTTCATAGTTCATTTTCCCCACAATTATCCCAGAATAAATGGATATTGGATCATTCCTCTCCAACACCTTCACTTAGCATGTACATGTTGCAACACAAGGATATATAATTCAGTCCTATATTGTCTACTTTCAGCAAATATGTAGGTACCTGCCAACTTCATAATTGCAATGGAGGATTCTGAAAAGAAAATGGAGAAAAGCAAAAATCTGGGTATCATAGGGCTTCACACTGTTGCAGCATTGGAACTGTGGCTTCTTCCTAGTTCCAGCATCTTATTCCCCTAGTGGATCAACCCTGTCTAACATTTAGGCATTAGGGACCCACTTGGGGTCACAGTTGTTTTTGCCACTTGCCCCAGTTGAGATGTAAAGTTAATAGTCAGTAGTCACACATGGCTTATGTAGGGCCAGCCAAACCAGTCTAGTCCCAAATTATTGTCAATATTTGTATATAGAGGAAAGAAAAGGGCTTAGTAAAATCCAGGGGGCGTCGAAGTCTAGTAGGAAAATCTGGCAATGCCCGGCGTGACGTAACGTCGGGGATGACCGACAGCACCCTGCACTGAAAGATACGGCAGAACGGCTATTTTTGAAAAATGATTAAAAATACTTTTGTGCTGGTATGACAAATAAAACGCTTATCAGCATGTTTCCCATCATGTGATAAAGGCATATCCGTGGTCGAAAATAGTCGAGCCCCTCCCAATTTCCAATCATCGACCTGATAAGCAAAGGATGTAAACGTAATCCTTAAGGGCGACTTTCCGTTACATATCCGTACATATGCGTCCTTATGGAAATCGGTAGTGTGGCGATTGGTGACGCGCGCGACATCTGTGCGGCGACTGTAGCGACACCTGGTGGCTGCTTTTCTGCTGTATGTAGGTATTGGAGTTTTGCCAGATGTGGTTCCTATTGCTACACCACTATGTTTACCCAATACTAGAAAAGTTATTTTGCTAGTAAAAGGCAAGCAAATTGGAAGTTAATTTATAAAATTGGTTATAAATGATTACGAGATAATAATAAATACATTTTGATTGAATGATTATTTAATTACTCAACCGTGAAACTGTATTCTGGTAGGTTTAGTAGAAATAAGTCCGTGCAACCTTGTATTTAGGGCCTTGGTAAAATCAATCTATTTTGAAGTATTACATTCAGATTTCAGGGGCCCTACCTACGCATTAACTATCAGCTTTGCATCTCAACTGGGGCAAGAGGTGAGAACAGCTGCTGCCCTGAGCCAGAGCAGGCCCTGAAAGGCTAAATGCTGGATGGGGCTAACCCACCCAGAGCATACTAGACTGAGAACACTACGACCTGACTCGTTTGACATGACAAGCTTTTGAAGAAAAAAAAACTGAGACTTACAAGGAAAACCTGGCCATCTGGTTAATACAAAAAGGGCAAATCGACTCATTTAAATCCAATATAACAATGACAAATTCCTGCCATGCTGATGTACGAGTCACAACCAACAGAGCAAAAAACACATAATGGATGGGTCATAATTGTAATCATAATCAATGCATGGAGCATGGCATTATGCATATATCAACTCAATCCAGTTGGGCAAACTAGACCTTTGGAATCAAAATATGGAGGCATCAAAAGATTGATTCCTTATGACCATATTTGGGCATAAATGCAGACCATTTCTAGCTTACCAATCACATAAAAATAAGAGAGTGTTTCAAGAAGGAGCATGCCTGATCTTGAACAGAAATGCTGGAACTATCTCCTAAGCAAAATAATATTGCTCCTATCATAACAATTTGAATTCTATAGGTAGGTAGTGAAAGGCAATCAAGGAATTGATTCACTTTAAACAGATAATCATAATATTGATTCCCCATCAGCTGGCTAATCATTATTTTGATTCACAGGTAATGTTAACAGATAGGCAACAATGACTTGCAGGAATACAGCGTTTATCTTGCTATTATTCACATTTAGTGGTATCCTCAGCAGTCAGCACCACAACAGATACCTATAGCATTGTTGTACTTTACCTTCACTACATTTGATAACAATTCACAATTTTTAAATGTTAAGAATACAAAAACTGAAGCAACAGGTAAAAACCATATAATAAATATAAAAGCACTACAACAATGATAATTAGGGGTTTGAAAATTTCATTTTTCCATTTTACACAAATACTGATTGTTTAATATGTGATTCATGATACAAAAATAACATACATACAGTGTGATTTCCTCAAAACAGGTTTTACATGATGGACAGTGGCTCTGTCTTTTTCCCATTCACAATGCCAAAGGGACAATTTCTTAGTTTTGAGGCGACACTTTTTGCAAACCTACCACATTTTTCTACCTTTTTAAAGAAAAATCGCACCGTCATGGGCCTTTTTTCAACTGTAACGATACAAACAGACGCCGGTGAAAACAGGGCGCCGGAGGGCATATTAGTCACGTGATATTTGGAGCTTCTCCCATTCCCGTCGGCATTCTACATGCTAAACGTCACGTGTGAATTTCACGAACCTTGATCAAATCGCTCCAGGCGCCGTTTTCACAGTCGTCCTACATTTGAAGTCAAAAGTGTACCCAAATGAATCAAAAAATTGATCTATGCCCATATTTGGTCATGGCTCCTCCCACCAGAATCAAATTTGAATTATTGATGCCTCAATATTTTGATTCCAAAAGTCTAGTTTGCCCAACTGAATCAAGGCCTCTCACATATGATAAAACATCATTCTTGATAATCTACAGTGACAAGACAAGCAAGAATAAACAATGTAAAAATAGATAAAATCCGGCAACTCATCGCCCACATCGCCCAACCTCCACACGCTCTCCGCGTATCAAATGTCACGTGTTTCAAGGATCCGGTAAAAAAAACGGAAAAAGGCACTTAATTGGGCCTATGACGTCATAGTCACAAAACTTCGAGCGCCGAACGTTGCTGGTTTCACTCAGTGCCCGGCAATCATTCACGAATATTTGTTGTTTTTCTCTAGTAAATAAAAAAAACTACATAAATAGCTTTTAATGTGACGAAGTTTATGTTAGACATTACCGCAATCGAAGCCGAAAGTTTCTTTAATTTGGAAAATATTACCCAAGTCTTTATATCTATGACCTAAGTAATCTTGGTACGCCCCCTCTGTGGCCACGCAGCGTCCGAGACCCACCTTCCCGGGTCACCCACGAGTTGAGTCCAGAATCAGAACTTCTAATCGACTAATATGCATGATCTACGGCAAACGCAGACTACAACGTTCCAATAGTATTTCGGCATCCCATTTAAAGGGACCCTCCCACCTTCAAAAAAGTTTATGAATTGGCATGAAAGTGATGTCACTCGGTTCAGAAAGAGCGAAAACGAATATCTACCAAATTTCACCGAAAAATATTCACCGGTTTTCAATATATTAGACTTTTACTTTTGTTTACTTTTTGGGATCTCCGCTGTTCCTAGCGACTTTATTTAAAAGTGCGGCATTTGTTGCGCGCAACGCAGCATATACCACCGCGTGCTACAAAACGTTTTAGTCAAACATTTAACGGACGTTCGAAAGCCTGATGACGTCATCAGATTCCCGTAATGGTTAAGAGATAGGGACCACGCTGGTCCCACCCTGCAAGTAAAGGGAAGAAATTTCTTGAACACCATAAAGCTGCGGGGGTTGCGACCAGGATAAATGGTGGTTTCTGAGCCTGGCCGCAAACTTGGCTATCTCAACTCAAAACTAATGTTAAGGTGGGAGGGTCCCTTTAACTATTTCTTTGCGAGCATCACACACAAACAAAAGTGAAAATTTTTATATGTATCAGTCACTGACTTCTATGTATCAGTGTAGATTATCATATAGGCACACACACACAACATACACACAACACACAACAACACACACATACAACAACATACAAACTTTCGAAATTTCGTACACGAGCGACGGCTGACACATGCAAGCAAAATATGCATACAGCGCAATCTTCAGTAGCACTCGTATACGCCTGCATTCTCCTACATTGTTGGGCTGACGGTATAAACACCTTTCATACTCTCACATCATCAAATGTCACTCGATCACAATAACGCTCATTGAATGTCTGAAACACTTGCGAGACCCCAGGGTTTATCAAGACACAGGCAGTTCACGATGCCACAACCTGCACAATGCACATACTACCCAGAAGAATAAGACTACACACATTTAGGAGAACCACACTTAAAATGCACCACCAGTCCACAACTTTTGCAATGACGAAACTCTCCATGGTCTCACTGATACCGAATAGCCTGTTTTGCCTTCAGCTTGTCTGTCTGGCTCTGACTCTGCCTCTGCGACAAAATCTTCGTCAGCTGCTGGTTAGCTTTTCTCTCCTGGATGCGCTCTCTGCGGAGCGCCTTCAGCTCGTGCTTCCTGGCCTTCCTTTCCTCCGGCGTTTCCCCGTCGTGGCGAACTGACAGCATCGATATACGGCTAGCCAGCGTCTCGTTGCCGAACGACGACTCGGAGCCCATGTCCGAGTCGTCCGAACCATCGCTGGCCCCGGCGTCCAGCTGCGCCAGCGCCTTCTTGGTCAGCTTAGGCTTGTCGTCTTTGGCCATGCCCTTTTTGTCGATCAATATCTTCGAGTTATTGGGTGCATCAATGAGCTTGGGTCTATTTCTCGTGTTAGAATAGGTAGACAGGATGCTCTCACAGTCCATCCGGTCTTCTTTGGCATTTTCATACACAGTGATAGACACCATATCATCTTTTTCCTCGTCTTCTTCGTAATCGCGAAGATCGATATCTTTTTCGATAGTCGGCTTCTCCTTTGCTTTTTGAAATTCATCAGCGAGTGCAAGAAGACGATCCGAGTTCGGATCCAGAGCACCAGCGATCTCTTCTGTTTCGAGGCCACCAACCTCTAGATCTTCATACTGGCCCATGAAGTTCTCGAACCTCTCGTTGAGAGCCTCCATGGCGACGGTGCTGAGAACGCCCTGACTGGTCGTGGAGTACTCAGTGAACTGCGACCTAGCCTGAGGCTTCTTCATCAAACGAAGCATCGCTTCCTCGTCAAAGTCATCATCAGAGTCCAACTGCTCATCGTCAGACACTTCAAATTCGATTTCATCTTCGCTCTCATTGTCCGAGGCAAGTCCTCCTGCCAGCTCGAAGAAGTTGTCTTCCAGCTCATCTTCAGGTCCCGGGGTGAAGTCGTCGTCCATTACCTCGGCCAGTTCGGACTCGATCTCGGCGGGAGGGCCATAGTCCGGCGCCGCCCTGTTCAACAGACCGACATCTTCCTCCACGTGCGAGGCGAACACAGACGAGGGCAGCTGCAGCGACGGCCCTGGGGCGGCGGCGGCGGCGACATCAGCATCGGCATCAGCATCGGCTCCCTCCTCCTGAGGTAGCGACGCAGCGTGCCTCTTCTTTTTCCTCTTTGCAGCGGACGCGGATTCGAGCCAAACGACATCCTGCTTTCTGGATGGTTTGATATGTTGGAGATAGTTGTAGTCGTCATCAAAGTATATGCCATACTTCATCTGCTGTTCTCGCTGTGAAAGCTTAGCATCGGCTTTGGGGTCCTCAACTTCAAGGAGAACTCGCTGTGGCGCAGAAGGGTCGGCAACCAGAGGATCCCTTTGGGAGCGGTGCACCAGTTGGAATGTCACCGACTTGTCCTTGTCAATAAACCGCTTGCGGCTCATGGCTTCCCTGGATTGTTGTTACTTCGACAATTAAATGTTCACGCTGCAGACACCTGGAGAACAGACAAGAAACCGTTAAATAGGTACCGTAAAATGGGGTGTTAAGGGACAGTGAGGTGATAAGGGACAGTTGCGTTGCATGGGAAAAACTTTGAGTCATGCTAAGTTCCTAATTTGAGAAGGTTAAATAAAAACTTGAGTGTGGTAGTTGACACTGTTTTGTTCTTGACTATAAGACAAAATGGCATGGTTTTTCATGCAAGTGATTTGATTCGAAAATGGTTTTGAAAATCATGCTACATTTTCACAAAATTGTGACATCTCAAAAACTTTGTGTGTACCACATAAACTAATAGGTGTACAGGTAAAATGAATGCATAGGTGTATTGTCACATGTATTTCACATGTTTCCTGAAAAACTCATACAAATCCACCCATTCATTCATCATCCTCTTCCTCTTTTCCGGACACATGCATATTTTGAGGTGGATGTGGGGTGCTAGGGACAGGGAAGAAAAAATAAAAAACAAAATCTAAATATAATTTCATAAGTTTTCTTTCAGCAGGCATGGAAAACACCAAATTCCACATAAAATGCTGGCAAGTTCATGCTTTCATCTTTAATATCTTAAGTTATATAACAAAACACCTCAAAACTTCCTTAACACTAAATACATACATACATACATACATACACTCTCTTTTACAATGATGGGTCAATGAAGACTGATGTAGGTAAATGTGATGTCATCATAAAAAGGCCAAAACAAAGAGGGCAACATAACAACAAGTGACTAGCTTCAAAATGGGTTTTTGTTGATGACAAAAGGGTACTTTTTGGTTCTGTTAACATTATAATTAGCACATTTTCCAGAAGCGTAAACTGCATTACATGTAATTGGCTAAAAAGGCCATTAGTGGTGAATGAACCTGACTTGTTTTGTGACAGAATATGCAAAACATTTCAATAAATAAATTGTGTGCCCTTTCACACCCCAATCGTGGGCATTTGATGACCATTTCTTGGAATAATATAGGTGTCCCTTAACACCCCACATTGGGGTGCTAAGGGACAGTGATGAAAAATAATAGAAAATAATATGCATGTATATATTTTTAAAACTTTAATGTAGCAGGCATGTAAAGCACCAAATTCCACATAAAATGCTGACAAGTTGATGCTTCTAGCCCCAACTCTTCTTGAGCTATATAACAAAACACCTCAAAACTGTCCCTTAACACCCCGTTTTACGGTAGTAGGTATGTTTTCACTCAACCTTGGAGTTAGGTAACACTTAACAGTGGGTGCACAGACATAAAATTTATTGGACGAAAAAATATAATGACAAAAAATGTCCAGACAAAAAATGTCCAGACAAAAAAAATGTACATGAAAAAAATGTACAGACAAAATATACATGGATAAAAAATGCACGGACAAAAAAATGTGAGACGACGAAAGTTTGACAAAAATATGCGGACATAAAACTGTCCGACGAATAAATGTGAAATATCTGATGAAATTTTCACGGACACACTCCGTATGTGAAGCAGTCTTGGTATTAGTATATATTAGGTCCGAGCGGACAATTGTGACGTTGTTGATACAAATATGTAACAGCAAAAAATTTAGGTTTTAGGTTAGGTTAGGTTGTAGGTTTGAAGGTTTCAGGTTTTAGGTTGGTAGGTTTGTAGGTTTTAGGTTGTTAGGTTGTAGGTTGGTAGGTTGTTACGGAGCGAGCGAAGCGAGCGGAGTCTCATACTGAATTAAGGGAAAATCCTGAGTATGAGCGGCCGGCCGGCCGTGGGGACGCTCTTCAAAAGCTAATATCTTAGGAACGGGACATCCGATTGACAAGCGGTCTTCTTTACTGAATGTCACTTGGACGTAAAAGTTATGTGGTGTGATGGCCACCATGCGTTCTTGCCAACCACCGCACGTGGCGCGTGGTAAAGTTGGACATTTTTTAAGAACCCCCAAAATTGCAACCTCAATAACGGCACAACGGCTGGGCCGATTGAATTGAAACTCGGTACACAGTTAGGTCTCCATCAGATAATTCATCTGCATGTGTTAAGGTTGGGGTGCTACAGCACGTGCGCACCTGCAGGGGGCGCTCCCAGATCTCGAGAACGGCTGGGCCGATTGCGCTCAAATTTGGTACACGGTTGGGGACCAGTTAGTAGGGTGCCGTGCAAAAGTCAGTTTGGACCCCGCTTGCACGTGCGCACGTGCAGTGTGCCGCTTCCAGATCTCGAGAACGGCTAGGCCGATTGCGCTGAAATTTGGCACATTGCTAAAGACCGGTTAGTAGGGTGCAGTGCACAAGTTAGTTGGAGGTACCCCCTCGCAATTTCGCACGTGCAAGGCCCATCCTCTCGCTCGCTCCGTTGGTCGCCCCAAAAGGCGTTTTACTGGTAGGTAAATAGGTAAGGTTAGGTCAGGTTTGATTGTTTTTTCTTTTATTTCCAGGACATATAAGTATCATTTTTGGATTCAGGATGTCAAATAATGTAAGAATATGAAAACTTTATCTTTTAACAGTCACTCGGACTCAATGTATACTTTTACCGCAGTCTTTAGACAAAAAATTCCGGCAGGCAGTTATTTTTCTGTTGGTAAAACTGGCCTCAGATGCAAGATGTCAGTTAAAATAATGGTACTGGGAACGATAAAAACTCATCAAATATACTAACCAATATCAGCGTAAAATTATTATCTCTTCTTACCAATGCCAAGATTCCTTTCGATAACCAATTCTACTCTACAAGCACACAAAAGTTGTATTTATATACACTGTGGGTTGTACAAAAGTAATGCACACAAATCGCCACGGTCATAGATCAAATCGCAAGACACAAACACGCACGGTATATAGCAGGGTATGGTATATAGCGGTATATTGAGAACTCAAACACGTTTTTAAAACGTAGACAATAACGACGATATTATTTCATTTGACACCAAGCCCCTAAAGTGCTGACATATTTTGACGCTTCTTTGAAACTCTACAGTATCAAAATGCATTTTATAGTGATCCTTATCACATGTACTGTTTTATTGAGGCCGCATCGGGCTTTAACCCTCGCATGTGTAGGGGGGGGGGGTCGGATGAACCCCCCCCCATGGTTTTTCGCGAATAACTCGCGTAAAAAGCGGCCGATCGCGACGAAACTTTCAGTACCCTCGCATTGATCAATTTGACACCTACCCTGAAAATTTCATGACCCTGACCCAAATGACCTTTGACCTGTGACCTCTTTTCCGAGACCATGTTTGGCCGGAATCGCGATTTCGCGTATGTCGGCTCGCACTAGCCGCGTGTTTGCAAGCTTTTCGTGGTTTCAAACGTTCAAACATGTGATTTGATGTTACTCCCGTGTGTGTCAAGGTCACCTGAAGGTCAGGTCAGGTCATTGACCTTTGGTGACCTCGGGTGACCTCGGGTCACTTTTTCGAGTTTTACATGTTTCTAGGCTAGTTTTTGGAGCTGAATTCGAATTTAGCAACCATTTGAACATTTACGAAGTAGTTTTGGTGACTTCGTAACATGTTACGAAGCTGTCAGAGGCGGTTGACACGTACTACGAATACCCGTCACAACCCCTACCGGTTGACCTGACCTGACCTGACCCGACCTGGTCTAAATGCTTCAAGACATCATCTGTGATCAAAACTAACACGATATTCGTGATCAGCACCCCGAAAAACCCCTTAGCAGCCACACTTTACGACTTTCTAACAGGTCCCGATTTTCCCGACTTTGGATCATTGACCTGACCTGGAAGGTCAACCAATGACCTAGGACCTTAAAATTGGGTATCATCGGCTTCCTCTCGTCACGGGCAACACGCTCGTTTTTTCCGGGAAGCTCTAGCTCGATCAGGGGCCAAACGGCAAGGGGGGGTCCAACCGACCCCCCCCCCCCCCCCTACACATTAGAAGCTGGCAAACGCCGCACACATGCGAGGGTTAAAATAGGTGTTATTCAATTCACACATCAAACCTGCTTTTCCAATTCAATCTTGGTAAAACAAGATGACCACTTGTCTTTGCAGTAAATTAGTGAAACAGAGGCCGTGCGGTACAGCATAACATCAGGCGCTTACCACTAGTGACATCTAGGGACGATGAAAGTAAATAAGGACGTGATTACATTACATCGGATGGGCATATGGCCTTGGGATGGGCACTGCTCATTGCTCAATGGCCAATCCTCATTTCTGATTGCTCAATGCTTATTCGCTGCATCCTATGGTGTAAAGGAAAATGGCCACCTTCGTGAAATATGAAGATATCGTTGTTTTTCATTTTGACATTATTATTTTTCATTTTCTTTTTAAAACTGGTGCCAGACATAGGCGTAGGAACAGGGGGGGGCCGGGGGGGCCATGGCCCCCCCACTTTTTAGCCATTTTTTAAAGTAAAATCTTTATTTTTTATTTAAATACAAAACTAAGAGCAGGAAATGATTCAGCAAGGTGAGATGAGCACAAAACTGCAAAGAATTTCTTCATAGGGGTATTGGGGCTCCCACAAAGTGACATTGAAGTTTCGCTGGCCCCCCCCCCCCCCCCCCACTTTTCGTGAGGTTCCTACGCCCATGGTGCCAGAAGTGCACAATTCGCGAAAAAGTATTTAAAACTATTTAACATATTGGTACTATGTTGATACTCTCTACGGCACCTACTGTATGATGGCATAGCGATGACGTCACACTCAAGCCAATCAGCGTTCAGAAGACAGACTCGTCGGATTGTGTCAGATAAGCTGATTGGTTAAAGCTGAGCTGATTGGAGCTGATTGGTAAAAAACCAAAGCCTCGCCGCGGGTGGCTGTATTACAGGGTAAGGACGCATTCCTGGGATAAGGACGCATTCCTCTTTTAAAATTGCCGATACCTACGAATGGAAGCCGAAATCGGCCGTAAGGATATCGACTGGTGGGTTTTCGGACACGGGCTACAAGATGGCTATCTCAGTTTCAATCCCCATGTTAAAGGTGGCCCTTTTCCTCGCAAGTGCCTACAGCCTTGCAAATGCCTAATTATAATTGTGGAAAGAGTTAATAATAACTTCTTGTTCATACCTAACTATTAAGTAAGCCAAAAACGAATTCAATGGTTTTGTTTTTGGCTCACTTTAGTTATGAGCCACAACTTTATAAGACTTTCCACAATTATAATCATAATCATGCTAAAAAAAACGCTTCAAACCGCATCATCTCGAATCGCGTTTTACAGTTTTATTCGCCGTTTCGGATAGCATGACCTCAGGTGACCTCGACAGGTCAGCCTAATGTTTTCGCTATTACCGACATCCGATTAGATAGGAAGGTACTCAGCAACTTCTCAAAACGAAAACATCGACATGAAAACACCGGCACCGGCAACGTTTTCACCTCCCGTGACTTTTGGCCACGGTCACCCTAAAGGCTGAAACAGACTCTTTCCGCATTCAGGAAATCGCATGCGAGAGCCTTTTTAAATACATTACAATTCTTCTCCCACATCAATCGCATGCGGGAGGTGCGTGCGATTGATGCCAGAGCCGGCGTGCTTCCATGTACCTAGGTAACCTAGGTATTTGAATAGGCTCTCGCATGCGATTTCCTGACTGCGGAAAGAGTCTGTTTCAAGCTTAAGTCACCTGAAATCGCCATTTTTGAAACGACAAATGAGGTCACGTCACTGTATTCAATATAAATGGATGATAAACCGTGTACAGCCCAACGAATGCTGGCAGTTGGCAGTGGCACATTCGTCATTATCAGCCCAGAATTTACTATTTGCCTACAGTTATAGCTGAAAACGGCACTGAGATGTCTGTCTCAGCCCCGTCGCCCCAAATGTCTGCCTCTTACACTTCTTCTCTAAGCCCTGAAATGGTCTCAACATGACGAATAGGTAAGTTGTAAACGGTAGGTACAGATTGTAGGCATATTTGGAAATTGGAGATATATTCTCAAAAACAAATACAGTTCGATTCTGTGAAAAGAAAACGTTTTGCCTACAACATAATCATGAACCATCCAAATGTCGGAACTAGGAAGCAGCATGGCTTGTACATAGATAGATGTCACAAAAGCAGCACAAGCGGATGACTGGTGCTTGCTGACCGCGTGCGCACGGGCCTTTCCCTCAACCGATGTCGATCGATATGGTCGATGTCGATATAGTTAGATTCAAGCGCCGTGATGACGCCGTAAGACGCGGTGAGAGTGGCCTCAGCGGCCGGCGCCGGGTGAGTTGTTGTTGGTGATGAGGTCGTTGTTGTTGCTGGTGATGTCGTTGTTGTTGGCGTTGGTGGAGGTGGCCAGGGCGGAGGTGGTGACGGTGTCGGTGCCGCTGTTGGTGACGCTCGGCGTGTTCGACTCGGTGGTGGTGATGCCGCCGCCGGGTATCACGGTGACAACAGGCGTGCTGGCCGCGCTGGCCGAGCCGCCGGCCACCTGCGCCGCCGCGCTGGCCGCCGTGCTTGCCGAGTAGCCGAGCGCGGCGGCCAGCGGCAGCAGGCCGAGTGCCTCCTTCAGCACGCCGCCGCCCGGGCAGCGGCAGCGCGGCGCCGGCGGCGGGGCGCCGCGCCGCTCCGGCCCGTTCGCCGCCGTGCCCGGACGCAGCGCCAGCTCCAGCACCCGACCCAGGGACGCCGCCGCCTTCTGCAGGCCGGCCGGCAGACGGGGCCGGGTCAGCTGGCCAGCGCGGACCAGCGGCGGCCCCAGCGCCGGCTGTCGGCGCAGCAGCGCACCCAGCAGGCCCTCCGAGCCCAGCAGCCGCAGCGGCACTGCGCTGTTGGCGAAAATCGGCCCGCTGGGCTCTGGCAGCTTCAGAGGGCGGAGCCGGCCGAGCCGCTCCAGCCGCAGACGGGACGGACGCAGCTCCCCTGCCGGCGGATGGTCCGTCAGACACGCTGCTCACGAGTACTACCAGAACATCCACAATACTGCAAGGATGCAAGACTCAACAGACAGAAAACACCGTCTGATTTCTGATAGGAAAGCACAGTGAAGCACCCGCATAGGAGCTAGATCGGTAACCCGTAATATGAACGACATTGGCATTCGTCGATCCAGAATCGTGGTCGCAGGAAATAATTATAAGCTTACACTGACGAGTCTCACCTGCGTTCGGCGGGTCGGACAGCGACCTGCGCTGAGCGCGTCTGACCTCCAGAGTCAGCCCTCCGAGGCCGAGCTGAGAGCCGGAGAGAGCTGCTCGCGCCGCCACAAACACCGCCAGGGAGAAGAGCGCCGAGACGCCGGCGGCCGCCACCGAGGCCACCTTGGTGTCGGTGCAGTAGCAGACCGAGGGCGGTGATGTCGGCCGGTACCCACCGGCCCTCTGTACCGTAGGCCGCTCCCGGGGCGGCGGCTGAACGCTGGACGGAGGCACAGGCGGCCGACTGACGGCACCTCGGTGCTCTGCCACGGGAACGGTCTTCGGCACAGGTACCCGAGGACCGGCGGAGGGGCGCGGAGAAACGGCGACGGCGTACCGGTGGCGCCTCACCATCGGGGATCCAACGAGAGGGGCTGCGAATGGACGGGATCTGTGTCCCGAGAAAGTAGAAAGGCGGTGGTTTTGCTCCGGTACGACAGAGGGACGGTTCCCCAGCCACGGAACGGGGGATGAAAATTTACTTTCTTCGGAGCTGGTGAATGAATGCCCAGAGACGCCTGATACCGTCGAAGATGTGTTGAAAGTGAGAAGCGGATCGGGTCTGGGAGGAGTTAGGGTCCAGTTAGATGGGCTGATAGAGATCAGAGGCAGCGCGATCGGGTGCAGCGCCGCCGAGTCGCTGCTCGCACCGATCACCTCAGTCTGAGGATCGGTGCTATTCAGCGGGGGAGCCTCTGCCAGCAGCTGGGCCAGGAACCAGACGATCTTCCGCAGCTCTCTTCTGGACTCGGCGCGCCGCTGAGCGGTCTGTCCCGGAGATCGCGCGGGTCTGCGGCCGATCCGGCCACCGAGACGGGTGGGAGAGGCCACCGGCCGCCGCGGCAGCATCCTCGGCCTCCGAGGGCTGGTCTCACTCCTCAGAGGCGGCGCTCGCCCCCTCCGGCGGACAGCCTTCGGCCCGAACCGGACATGTCTCTGACTGCGGTCTCCGGTGCCGTCGCCCGCCGCCGCACTATGCGCTGTGTGGACCGGGACGGGCTGTGGTCGGGCTTTCTTCACCACTGCTGAACTAGCTGTCCCGCTGTGGCGCAGGTGGCGGTCACCACCGGCCGTCATCACGTCCCAGAGGGTGGTGAGTCGCGGCTGCGGCCGGTCGGCCGGCGGGCCCGTCTCTCGCGGCAGCAGCACCACAGCGGTCACACTGCTCAGCAGCGCCGCCAGGTCGGTCACGGGACGGGCGACGGGTACGTCCCCGGCGCTCGGCAATGCCTCCAGTCCCGGCACACATAGACACAGGACACACGCGGCCGCACATAGCCGGCGGAACGACGGGGAGCAGACAGTCGACATAGCTAACGGACGGATACACGTCGGGGCGCAAAGATGAACACAGCTACAGCGAAATTCAAATTTATTGAGCACCGTCGTCACAATTCCAGAGTAAATCCTAATCTACCATTTAGTTGCCACCACTTCAAACACCAGTCACTTCAACTCCGTCACGAGTGGTCACCGATTGCCAATAACGGCCCCGTTCCTGAGGCGACTTCACGTAATCACTGAGCCCATGCAGTCAGATCACCGACGCTGACCAATAAATCACTCACACTATCCCGAGCCCGATCGGCCGTCGTACAGCCTATAATGCCCTATAACAAACACTGTAATGCCCAATATACCAGTTCCAATGTATCCACTATGACCTCTTCAGTCTGTGACACGACCTGCCGTCACCATCCAGCAGTGAGTCAGAGTCGAGAGTCTGTCTTCAGCACCACTGGCCGCGCCGGGTCCGGCACGCAGAGTGACCCGGCCGCCGTCTCTGAGCACCACATCGACTTCGGAGAGCCGGGGACGGACGGGCCGGTCGTCACCGTCTGCCGCCTGCCGGGACGGTACCTGCGGCAGAGGCACGCATCAGCGTCAGAGAGGAGCCACAAGATCGGCTCTGCGGCGTGCGGCGCCACCCTCAACGGCCCACAGACACCGCACACACCGCAGCGCCAGCAGAACTCCAGTTAATTACCGCCCCGCTAATGAATTGTGGCTCGGCGGAGCAGCGCTGGTCTAGGAGCCGCTCTGCCGACCGCTATCTGTATGCGCCACCCTGTCATCCGCCGCAGAGGGAGCGGTAGAAAAAGACCCCACACCGTAACACGGTGGTCAGCCAACAAGGATGTGGCCGGACGAACGGTGGTAATTACCACCATAACCGGGCGGCAGGCGGCCGGGAGGATGGTCAGTAGCCATCTGCCTACTGATTTATGCATAGTCTGCTTAAAACACTTGGACGGAGATAGGCTGAAACCTTTTGAAGTTCCTACAGGAACAAGAAGATAGGACTAAATTAACAAAGCGTGACGAGGACCTAATTCTACTCACGGGACGTCCTGCTACGCCGACAGCTCTTCCTCCTGCGGTAGGTGAGCGCACGTCCGCCGGCCATGTTGGTGATCATGTCGCTGTCCTGGTTGCTGGCCGTGTTGGTGTTGGTGTTGATCGGGTTGCCCTGGGCCGTGTTGGTGATGATGTCGCTGTCCGTGTTGGTCAGCGTCGGCGCGTTGTTATTGCTGTTGGTGATGGTGTCGGCGTCGTTGATGGTGACGTCGATGGCGGTGCCGCCGCCGGCGCCGGCCGTGGCCAGCGCCGTGGTCGACAGGGTGGTGCTGTAGCCGAGCAGCACGGCCAGAGGCACGTAGCCGAGCACGTCGAGCAGGTGGCGCAGGCTGCACTCGCAGTCCGGCGGGCTCTGCTTCGTGCCGTTCACTGGACGGTACACGAGCCGGCCGCGGCCGCGCAGCCAGCGCTCCACGCGCGCCAGCAGACCGTCCTTGGCGACCGGTCTCAGCCGCTTCCTCTTCTGACTGGTGACGGAGTCCACACGGCGGGCGGCACCCCTCCGGGGTCCCGGCACGGGCGCAGCGGTGGTCGGCGGCGCCAGCAGCTTGCCGGCGCGGTACTCTGCCCAGGTGAACCCGGGGAACGAGGGCTCCGGCCGGGCCACGGACCAGCGCGCCGCCGTCTCTGACAGGTGTTCGGTAACCAGCGCCGACAGCAGCGTCTCCATGTGGCCGTAACTGTTGGCTGCGCGGCGTAAACGGCATGAAACAGGAGAACAAAACTCGGTGAGGATTGAGGAACAAGAATCTAAGCATTGTCATTAGCATTGTCATAAACGAACACATCTCTTATGCCAAAAGCACAATCACACCATGCGTATTTGTATGCAGAATGCCAAAAATAATCGACAATAAAACACTTATCACACTAAACACAAAATGCCGACAAAGTGGCCGGTCCCTGTACTCACGTTTGATGGCTCGGCCGCTGCCGCTGCCTTTGGAGCTGCCGATCGTCTGGATGGAGAGGACGTAGATGAGCAGCGCCGCCAGACCGGTGAGACCCACCACGGTGCCCGGCGGCGCCACCTCGCCGCACTCACACTCCTCCTGGCCGGACTTGGTCGACCCTTGCCGCCGCAGACTGGCCACTAGTTTCTCCGCGCCGGCCTCTGCCAGCAGGTCCAGCAGCTTCTCCTGATCCTTGGTCAGAGAGGACGGCGACGGCTGCTTAGTGTCATCAGGATTGTGGACGTTTGCTGGGTGATGGGCATCGGCTGGTCGATGAGCTTCAGCTGGGTGATGAGCGTCTCCAGGCCGATGGGCGTTTTCAGGACGATGGGCATTCTCTAGCCGATGAACGTTTTCAGGTCGATAAGCGTCTTCAGGCTGATGAGCCGCTCCGGGCCGATGGGCGTCCCTCGGAGGGCCGTAGCCAGGCAGGTCACCACTGTGTCCCGGGTTGATGGGCGGGTACAGAGGGCCCTTCGGAGGACCGTACTCCTGGTGGGTGCCCCTCTGGGTAGGTCGGGTCAGTGGCACTCCGCCACTGTGTCCCGGAGAGAAGGTGGGAGGGAACAGAGGACTCCTCGGGGGCCCGTACCCCGACTGTGAGCCCTGCTGGTCGAGTGGTCCTCCACTGTATCCTGGGCTGACTGTAAGCGGGTACAGTGGGTCCTTCGGCGGTCCATACTGTGAAGTGTCGAGAGGTAGGGAAGGACTACCGCCACCGTGCGGTGGGTACCGGGCGTCTACTTTACCGCCCTGCCCCGTAAATAAATCGTTCGTGAAATGCGGGGACGGCTGAGGCGCTGCGGGCCCCTCCTGCTGGTGCTGTTGGTCCTTAGGCGGGCCGTAGCCCTGTGGAAGGGACAGGAGCGAGTCAACGTACCAGGGCCGCTCCAGGGAGGCGGCCTGCTCCGGCGGCACTAAGCCGTCACCCACGGCTAGTGAGGAGAGGGCCGGATACCCAGTCAACGAGTGTGGGATGGTCGGGGACTCGCCCGATGGACGGGAGACGGTGGGAGAGCCGGCGGACCCAGACGGCGGGCGAGGCCCCTCAGACGGTCCAGTAGGGGAGGGAGACTCAGCCGTGGACTCAGCAGACTGGTGTGAGTCCGCGGGCGGCTTCCCCGCTGGCTGTGACTCAGCAGGTGGCTCAGCTGGTGATTGTGACTCAGCAGGTGGCTCAGCCGATGAGTGTGACTCAGCAGGAGGCTCAGCCGACTTATGAGGCCCAGCAGGCAACTCCGCTGGAATCGGAGGCAGCTCAGCCGTCAAATCGATAAAACGCTGGGAAAACTCCGGAGGTTGAGAGTGCTTAGACGGCTGAGAGGACTTATGGGACTGGGCGTATTCGGAGGAAGTGGAATACTCGAGAGACTGAGAGAACTCGGGAGGCTCTGGGAACTCGAGCGGCACGTTGGTGAGCGGTGACACAGTCGTGGCGTCCGCTGGGAGCTCGGCGTCCTTCTCAGGAATCACGAGCAGCGGGTGCCATCGGGCGGCAGCACTGTCAGTGGCCGGATTCGGACCTTCTTCTGGAAGACCGGCGAAGTGGTGAGTCGAGTTGTCACCGGGTCCACCAGAGCTGGCCGGTGCGTCTTCTGTCGATGGATTGTCGTCAGTCAGAGGTTGCAACTCGTGAGACGGTGCTGTGTATGACGTAGAGAGGTCTTGCCAATCATCCCCACCTATCGGTAGATTGTTCAGCTTCGGCCGCTCCTCCCCACCTGACGGCAAACGGTTCAGCTCGGAGGGACCGGCTCTATTCAGTAACGGTAGAAGAGGCCCGGGCTGACTCGGATGCCAGTCTACCGGTCTTGACAACAACCCAAACTTCAACGTCTCCGGGGACCAGCGCCGCCGGCCGGGGCGGCGGACACTTGGTACCCGTCTGCCCTGCCGCTTTTGCAGAGCGTCTGCATTGCCCTTCCAGGCCCTGGGTTTCCGAGCTCCCTGACTACCGTAGTCAGCTCCCAACCAGCCTGTCCAGATCCTGGGCTTTCGAGCTCTCCGGCTATCATCATCGGCCACCGGCCAGCCCGACCAGGTCCTTGGTTTACGAGCTCTGCGACCGTTCTCAGTCCCTGACCATCCTGGCCAGGTCCTTGGCTTACGTGCTCTCTGTCGGACAGATGGGACTCCAAGACGGCTCCGCCATTCACCGGTGACGCCGCTCTGAGCACTGCTGAACTGCCGCCGACCCGCCGGGTCCGGGCGTCTGTGTCTCCCAGGGTTGAACTGCGGCCCAGTGTGCCAGCCCGGAGGTGACAGCCGCGCCGGCAGCTCCGATGACTGTCGCTGACTGGGGTTCCGTCTTCTGATTGGCCCGATGAGAGGAGGTCTCAGTTCAGCACCGCCCGTTTGTCGCCACCAGTTGCCAAAGAAACGGCCCATTCCAGTGGCCGGCGCCGGAGGCAGGGCGGCCCTCGCGGAAAGACAGCCGCCGGCTAGCCAGTAGGTGAAAAGCAGTAGCGCCGACAGCAACATGACTATGAAGCTCACCCGTCGCCGACGGCGCTCGACACGGCACGACGCGACGATCCCGACTGACGGGGGCGGCGGACAGCGGCCGGCGGCCCGGCGACAGACACGCGGCCCGCGGCTGATTTACGCACTAAACGGGTGCTGATTTACTCCCTGTCGGTCGTTGATTTACTCCCCCGCCGCGCGCGACTGTGATTTATGGCCGCCGCTGGGCACACCGGTCCGGTGCCGGCCGGAGCGGGACGGAAGTGGCCGGGGGAGACATGACCACCGGGACCGCAGCCGTCACCGGACCGGGACCGCGGCCGGCGCCAGACTGCCGTCATCACTAACCCAGACACCGTCAGTCCACATAACGAGTCGAGAGTGTCTGTCACAGAGTTATTTATATAAGTGCCTTGGTCACAGCCAGGCATGTCCCGCAGTTACACATGCACAAGAGATAAAGTGAAAAAAAATAGATAGAAATTTTTATATACTTCCTACCAGCTGCAACAAAATTCGAGAAAACAAAACAAAAGGCGATGACGAGAGAACACTGACATCTTGGATGTTTGAGCGCCCGGTCATCGAACGAACGTGCCGTTTCCCGCTTCCCAGTCCAGCTGCGCTCGCTCCGGACGAAGTGGATGTTACTGCCCGAACGCCGAGCCGCGGTGTCAACGGTGTATGTAGAGTCGGTAGAGTACATATCCCGCGCCCCACTGGGGGGGGGGGCTATTTATAGCCCCCTCCCGTTTTTCTGCAATAACTTCCAAACCGCTTGACGTATCGACGCCAAACTTTCAGTACCTTAGGCTGCATCAATTTGACACCTTGTGTCAAAATTTGAACTTCGTAGCTACCATAGGTCGGCCGGAAATGACGTCAGAGTGACGTCATGTTCGGCCGATTTCGACGCAAAACATTGAACCACGGCAATCGCTCCCAAGGGCTCAGTTTTTAAGCTAGATCCAATTTCTTTGCATGAGAGGACTCAGAATAGACTGCGCTATCAAACTGCTATCTCGGATTTTCGAAATTTTGAAAATTTCGAATTTTTTTTTTATAATAAAATTCAAAATTTATATTTTTACATTTTTTTCAATTTTTTTTTGATTTTTCGAAAAAACCGGAATATATAGGATAGAACGCATTATTATGACTAACTCTGGCAAGTTTTAGCTAAATATCTTCAAAAATGGCCAAGTTTTACGCATTATTGCAAAAAATTCACAATTATTAATTTTTCAAATCAATTTTTCAGCACGTATTTGAAACCGTACGCCAATATAAATAGCACCATCGTGTTCCTGAGCTCAAACTGCATCCAATAGACACCTTTTTTGTTGAAAAATTTCAACTTCAAAATTTGACCTTTTTTGACCTGAAAGTGACCTGACCTAAGCTAAATTCGACTCAAAATGACCTCCAATAACACAGACGACATCAAATTCGAAATCTCAGACCTACCTAAATGGACCATAAAACATGTGTCACGTGACCGACTCATGATATAATATTTTCGTGACCTGTGATGACCTGACCTTGACCTGAAAATCAAAGTACAAGTTTGGTACCCTCAGGGTATCTAGAGCATCTGTTCACGAGTGTGTGATCCAAAAATGAGCCTGATCTGACTTGTAAGACGGCGGCCAGAGCCCAAAACGTGAACAAGCCAAAATGCTAATAATTTTTACTTTGACCTAACCTGTGACGTCATCGGTGACCTCGAGGTCAATGAAATTAGGTTTCGCTCGACAGTTTTTCCGGGGCTATCAGACGCCGTTTGAATTTTGACGATCGGCCCAGTAGTTTCGGAGTTAGGAGGGGGGGGGGGGGTATGAATAGCCCCCCCCCCCAGTAGGGCGTGTTATACGCAGACCCCAGTGGGGCGCGGGATATCTACGTACGTACAGGTGTACCTACTTGTCTTAGGTGTACTTATGTGGTCGTGCCCGTGCCGAGATCTTCAGAAATACCGTGGCGGGAGGGGAAGGTGGGATAAGCAATAACAGGGCTGCTGGCTGGGAGTGGGACAAAACGCGGACACTGCCAATGCACTGATAACAGGGGACAGGACACTGTCCCGGGGCAGCCCATAGCCTTGGGTCAGGGTGCAGGCCCACCGACTTTGCATCAGCCGAGCGACGACCTTCGCGTCGCCGTGGCGATGAGACATTGACATGGCAAGCAGTAAGCACCCGGTTCAGCGCGAACCACACTATCAGCATGGAGTAGCGCTGCTGCCCGCTGTGCAGGTTGGCCACCTCGTCTCCCTCGGCGGAATGCACCTCCCGACGGATGTGTCGGCCGGTCAGGTGCTGCGGGGCGACGCGTCGAGCCTCGAGGCACCCGGCGCAGACCACCTCAGGCGAGCGGCGGGAGCTAAGGCGACCGGCTCGGGCGGCTCGGTTCAGTCGGTGCCGTACGGCATGCACCAGCACATGGTGGTTGTGAAACGGTTCGGAATTGATGACCACGGCCAAGGCGTCCTTGCCGGTCCGCACGGCTGCTGCACAACCCGTGGGCTTCCGGCGAACGGCCAGCCCGAAAGTATCAAGTGATAACTGATCAAAGATGAAGATCAAGGCCGGTCGCCGACCAGAGGCCTGCCGGGACTGGTGGCCTAGAGTGTTAGGCCACCAGTCCCCAACGTCTGGTGCCCTACGCCGGGTCGCCGGGTCGCTCCCCAAGGCCAACCCTCATCCTCATTACGTTCCCGCGGTTCCGACCCGCGCCGTGACCCACATTTGTTGACAACTGGGGAGAGCCCAAAATCTTGCCCAAAACAACGTTTTGGATATCTTAGCTAGGCAGTAGAGTTTCAGCCAACGAAGAGCCTGTGACGTCACAAAATATTTAACCAATCAACTGGCTTTGAGGAAACTGCTTGAAGTATAACTTCAAGTATTTGAGTTGAGGCTGCAGCCTGCTTGGTCTTGGCAACAAAAAATTGTTAACACTTATGTTTATTGCTTTTTTTAACTTGAAACAAAGTCATTCCTCATATAAAAAGGTACCTGGGTTGCTTCAATAACAACACAACCTTTGCGTGCAAAAAGAGCGCGAACCCCATACACCAACGAGGAAAATTAGATATCAAATAATTTCTTGATTACTATCGTGAAATTTTTTGAATTTTCACCTCCAGATTGACCCGAAAATGACCTCAGCTTTTACCTCAAATGATTCTAACGCCGTAATTGGTTGGTCGGTTATTACGTCACCAGTCCATGCAAAATAAAAACAAATGGTACAATTCTGGCGCAAAGAAAATGAAAATAGCGCAGGGGCGCATTCTGGGAGAGATCGCAGGGAAGGGTGCGTGTGACAGGGGAAAATTGGGGGCGTTTCGCGGGTTTTGTGGTCGCCGTGGGTGTGCGGTGCTTTGATCCTGTGTTGTTGTATCAGGTGACACCTCAGTGGTGTTATTGTGCATCTGCCTAGACTATCATAGCTGGCTGAGCACTTTGTGTTTGTCAAAGATGTGCGGTTGAGGTCGTCAGATTGAAGTTGAAGTGGACGTTGAAGTGTGCAAACTGGGAGAAAGAGTTTGGCTACTAAGTGATGGTGATAGTGCTCAAGTGAGGTGGACATGATCTAAAATTAATTATCTTGATGCGGTTAGGGTGGTGGTCAACAGGCTCAAACATAATTGAGTAAGGATGCTAAGGTGAATAACGTTTTCAACTGTCATGTTCGCTGTTGCAACCTCTGCCAAGCACCCATGCTATGCTTATCAAGATATGAATAAGCTTATGAACATATGAAGCATATTCACGATATGAAGTGAAAAAACTTAGATGTTCATAGATTAAAGATTGTGTTGAATATATTTGATTATCGCATCTCCCTGGGTTTGGATAATGGGTTGGGTATTTTAACCAGTCTACCCATATGTCTAATAAATTAAATTTGATAAATGTATTTATTTTAACAGCTATTTACTTTTACAGTTGATCCCAGCCAGACTGAGACAGTAAAGATGGGTGAGATGTTGGCCTCGGCAGCATTCCTCCATATGGGGGACATTGTATCCCTGTATGCCGAGGGCAGTGTCTGCGGCTTCATCAGCACTCTTGGGTAAGTTCTGAGGAGAGAGTAGGTGTTCTCATCAGGTGGTCTGTAAGATATGTTTCACTATTTTATTTGCTGTTTAATGCCTCTTATGAACCACTGGAACTGGTGTGTATCATCTGTTTTAATATTGTTTAGGCCTCAATCACCCTAGTAGCACACAACATTGATTGAACAATAGAATTATTTGAATCCAGGCTGATAATCAACATTGAGGATCAACTGACTCAGTATCGATCCAGCACTGAGTTCACATTGATTTTGCATTATACAGGGTCAACTGGCTTTCGACATTGATCCAACATTGATTTCATGTTGGTTTTGCATTGCACTTGATTTTGTCATTGAGATCAGGTCGATTGTGGCTAACAACTACGTTGATACTTTGTTTAATCAATGTTATTGTGCTTCGAGGGCAGTTACAGATGTGAGATGATGCTGACTGACCCCTTTTTGCTCTCCCCCACTAGTGAAGTGTCCTGTTTTTTCTTTTTTCAAGTGATGGTTCTTAGTGTCTGACCATTTATTATATTTAGATTGATTTTTATCTATGATATGGATCTTGAGATTATTGCCTAAATATCATGGATGAACATATTTTATCTGAACATTGAATGGCGATTACCCTACCCCTACCCTACCCCGGCCTCAGCGGCGTATTTAGAAAATCGCGAAGGGGGGGGGGGGGCCAAGGGTTTGGAGGGCGCCACCTCACCCAAGGAGGGCGCCATACGTTCGCGAGATAAAAATCCTTAACGATCGCTCAGCGGAGGGGGGGGGGGGGGGGGGGTGGGAGGCCTTTTTTTACTGCGCCACCAGTTTTTTTGCGTACCTTGGTATAGGTTATGCTGCATTGATTTTCCATCGTGTGTATTTTGTTTTTACTCCAGGTCACAAAAGGTCAAGTCACCCGCTCAGCTTAAGTGACTATGCTTAAAACATTTTTTTTAAGTTAGGTCACTCGACATGGCCTGATGACCTTGCTTTTAGCGACTATGGTTTACATTTTATAAAGCACGTGTAAGAGTAATGTACCAAAAGGTGTGCCCCTCCCGCTCACCCAGTTCCCTCCCCCAACAGGAAAAAACGGAAGCTCGTAGCGTAGTGGTATATGGGATTTTTCTACCGCATGTCTGAAGAAATGTCCTGGCGCGGGTTATTCTGACACGTGACGAAAAGGTTGGAAGTGATTGGCTATAAGTTCCCACTAAAGAAGTGTTGTTGTGCGCGCCGAAGGCGCGCGAAATTTTTGAAAACAACCTTTTCCTCCGCCTTTTAGGCACATATTTTACGTGCTCACTGTTCAAAGCTCTTCTCGCTCTTTTACCAAATTTGAAGGTGTAAAAATACCTAAGGTTTGGTGGGGCCGGTGCCACACAAACTGTATAGGAAGCTTCGCCCATGGGTGACGATGTAGAAAAGTTTATTGGCGGTGGCATACACACCAGACCACCATATCGGATTGATACCGGAGCGCGAGGTGCGTAAACACAAGCGCACAACGAGAAGGCGGCAGAAACAGAAAGATAGGTGAACCATAACAGGACTGTTCCTCATGAGATTGATTAGCCTCCTCGGGCTTCTCATCCAAATTACCTCGACCAGCCCTCATGGCCTTCTCACAGATGCATATTACAGTGTTGAATACCTAAATAACCAGCTTCAATCACCGAAACTGATGCCTGCTGTTGCAGCCGAACCTGTTGACAATACTTAATCGTGATCCATATAAAATAGATGTCATGATGCATGTAAAGTAAGATCAATCCGTTAAGACCAAAGACGTGTTTTATGCATGGTAGAGCGTAGACAGTTTTGGTATGCTTCATTCATTATGCTGAATGCACGTTCATTTGTGGCAGTTTTCACAGGCCACAAATGAACAAATTACAAAGTAGATAAATCAGGAAAGACATCAATATGTGCAAGAGATTAGAGAACTGCTAAGTTGGGAAACATGCCAAAGGAGTAGATAAATTATAGGAGGGCAGCGATCAACGGAGGTCGCCAATAGGTAAAAGGGCTGCCTGCGATCGACAGGAGGTCGCTAATAGGTAGGAGAGCCCCGATCAACATCCCGAGTTTCGACAGGAGGGCACCGATAGGTAAGAGGGTGGCAAGCAGCAGGAGGGCGCCAATGGGTAGAAGGGCGGCGATCAACAGGAGGGCGCCAATAGGTAGGAGGGCCCCGATCAACAATCAACAGGAGGGTGCCACCAGGTGAGAGGGCGGCAAGGAACAGGAGAGCACCAATAGATAGGAAGATGGCGATCAACAAGAGGTCGCCAATGAGTGGAAGGGTGACGATCAAGTTCAACAGGAGGGTGGCAATGGTGAGGAGGGTGCCTTTGCCCAAGAGGATGACATTAAACAGTAGGGGACCTGTGGGGAGGGCGCCAATTTAGCAGGAAAGTGCCAGTGGGTAGGAGGGCGGCGATCAACAGGAGGGCGTCAGTGGTTAGGAGGGCGGCGATCAACACGAGGGCGCCAATAGGTAGAAGGGCCCCGATTAACATTCAACAGGAGGGACTAGGGAACCAATAGGTAAGAGGGCGCCATGCAATGGCTAGAAGGGTGGCACTCAACAAGAGGGTGCCAAAAGGGAGGAGGGCGGCCATCAAAATTTCACGAGGGCACAATTGGTGGGAGAGCGCCAATAATTATGAGGGTGCCGACCAGCAGAAGGGCACCATTGTGTAGGGCAAGGTGGCGACCTACAGGAGGGCGCCTTCGAGTGAGAGGGCGCCTGTTTACCAGAGAGCGCCAATAGGTAGGAGTACAACGATCAAATGAGGGCGCCAGTGGGTAGGAGGGCAGCGATCAACAGGCTTACATAGGCGACTACCGCTACGCTTAGAAAGCTTTAGCCTACAAATGCGGTTGGAGGGCGCCCAAGGGAGCCCTCCAATCGTATTTGGAGTGCGTATTTGGAATGGCGCCCTCCGAGGGCGCCCTCCAACCGTATTTTCCCTGCAAACACATTCGCGATTGGGCGCCCTCCAGTCGCGATTGTTTTTCGATTCGATTCTATTACAATTGCATTTGCGATTGGAGGGCGCCTTCGGCGCCCTCCAATCGCAAAGGGCGCCTTCGGCGCCCAAGGGGGGGGGGGGGCATGGCCCAGTGGCCCCCCCTGCCTACGCCCCTGCCCGGCCTACCCTACCGTACCCGGGCTACCCCTACTCGCCAGGGATGCGGAGCCGGAGCCGGAGTCGGAGCCGGAGCCGCCGGAGCCGGCATATTTTGCCCGGAGCCGGAGCCGGAGACGGAGCCGTGAAACAATATAGCCCGGAGCCGGAGCCGGAGCCGGAGCCGCCAAAAAAGGGGGTGACTCCGGCTCCTTTTTATTTTTTGAAGAGGAAAAAAATAATTGACCTTGTTCGGTTTGACAGTACAAGGCAGTAAAACATATGGTACTTTACTTACGTCATGGGCCATCAAGTGAATGAAAAAAGCCGAATATCCCCAGTATCCCACAGTACGCAATCAACTTCTTGTCTGCTCCTTCCCCCCCCCCCCACGTCTACTGCATCCCCAGAACATGAGGACCGGTCATCAGGTGACGACCATTGTTTTCAAGCCAGTGCAGTGGACTGCGACTCCCGGCACCGTCTCTTCCCCTCCCCCCCCCCCACTCCCACCCCCCAATGCAGCCGAGACTGGTGTCAGCTTACGATGGTTCAGTGAACTCCAATTCGCGGCGACTGCGTTTCCAATGCCATCGCTTCCTAGTCCTTTGTTCTGCCAGTTCTCTCCGAAGTGCGTTTGCGCGGGGACGCGGTGAGCCGGTCATGGCAAAGAGTAACGCGTATAACCAATCCAATTTTTCTTCCACCCGTATTTAATTGATTGCATAGGGGATGTACTGAGTCGGAGCCGGAGCCGCCGGAGCCGGACCATTTTACTCGGAGCCGGAGCCGGAGCCGGAGCCGCCACAACATTTCACCCGGAGCCGGAGCCGGAGCCGATTTTTTTCTCCGGAGCCGGAGCCGGAGCCGGAGCCGTCTGAAATTTCCACGGCTCCGCATCCCTCTACTCCTATTAGTAGTTCATAGTTTCCTATAAGATTAGTAGCCATAGTTTCACTTCAATTAATTTGAGTGTGGAAGGCCAATGATAATATTATGTTCCTGGTCAATATGCCACCTTTTGGGTGGTATTTCTTCTAGCTTGTCTGTTTTCTGGTAGTTGCAGAAGACCTGCAGTTAGTTGCAGCAGTTTTGGTAGTTCGACACCAGGGCTGGTGCCTAATCGTATTACCTTTGTTGCAAACTGCCATGCTGCCATTAGGTACAGTCCACAGCAGAAGTAATGTGCAGTTAAACCCTCGCCCCGTTGGGGGGGGGGGGGGGCAATTTGGCCCCCCCTGTGGTTTTTCCTGAATAGCAAGAAAACGGCGGCGCGCAGCGCCGCCAAATTTTCAGTACCTTCCCGGGCATCAGTTTGACACCTTCACACCGAATTTCAAGTCTTAGGTCACCTTAGGTCAAGAGTTATTGAGGTCAAACTGAGGTCATGTTCGAGCAAAAATGAGCAAAAAACATGCAATCTTGAAACGCTCACCAAATCTACAGCTACAAAGCAATTTCAAACTTCTTTATATGGTCTAGTAGACAAAAAGCGGCGCTACAAAACTGCTATCTCGGATTTCCAAAATTTTGGGTTTTTGACCCAAAAAAATTCAAAAAATTGATTTTTTTTAATTAAAAAAAATCCAAAAAAAATTCCGAATTTCGAAAAAAAAACGGAATATATATGATAGTACCTGTGCTTTTCTATATACATACCAAATTTCAGATCGATATCTCGTTTTTTGGCCAAGTTATAGCGAAAAAAACTGTTCAAAAATGATGACGTCAAATTTTTGAACTCAATTTTTAGCGATTCTAGACCACGTAGGGCAAAACAAAGACCACCATTGAACTCCCCGTGACGAGCTGCATCGAATCGATACTCATTTTATGCAAAAATATCAACTTGGAAATTTGACCTAATTTGACCTGACC